TTGATTTTTGAGCATTTTTGCCAGGAGTATCTCGTATAGATTTCTTCACTGGAGCTTTTTCTTCTGTTTCCTCATCTTCAAAATCATCATCATCATCATCATCATCATCTTCATCGTCATCATCTTTGTCAGCAGCAAGTTTTACTTTTTTCTGTGGAAATTTGCTTCCACCTCCAGGGGCAGATCGCTTTCCAGATATACTTAAGAGTTTCACGTCCTCTTCCTCTTCTTCTTCTGACTCTGCATCTTCCTCCGCAGCTACTAAGTGCTGTCCACTAATATGCACAGGTCCTGAACCACACTTCAACACAAGCGGTGTTATTTCAAAGCCCCCAAGGGAAACCGTTGGCTGTACAGACATTTTCAGTGTTGCCAGTGTTACTTTAATTGGACTGCCTTCATAATTCATTGCCTCTGCTTCAACAATGTGCAATTCATCCTTTGCATCAGCCCCTAAACTGACCGTTCTTAAAGATAACTGGTGTTCATTTTCATCATTATCCACTTTAAAGTGATAATCTTTGTCGGCCTTTAGTTCACAACCGGAAAGATAGTTCTGGGGCCTCAGGGGGCTCACGTCCATGTCCATCGAATCTTCCATGGGGTGGTGGCACGCACTTGGGTGGGTGAGAAGGCGGATGGAGGTAAACGACTATGGCTCCCGAAAACAGCCGCGCAGGACGGAATCACTCCAGGGAAGAAAGACACTTTAAATTGATTTTCCTTGTAATCGAATTACAGAGATAGAATGCATTGGCAGGTATTTTGAATTACACACAACTCATGATGCCTTATTATACAGTCTCCACAAGTTATAGGAAATGTCAGAGGAAACATTAAAATAGTGTGCATTTAAAATTAACTTCAGAATTACTTCAAATGTATTTGTAGGGAGAGTTAAACATTTTGAGAAAACCACTCCATGAGAATCAAAAACTTTAGATGTATTCCAATTCATATATTCATCCCAGTGTCTTCACAAGCCATAGGATACTCTCATCAGGCAAAGCAATAGTTGTATAAATAAGATTTTTCTCTAAATGTGATATTATCAAAAACTATCTACCATTTTGCATTTGCCAGGAACTGATGGTGCTTTCAATTATGTAGACTGAAAAGTATACTAAAAGTAAGAACTTTGGGCCAGCCAGTGGTGTGGTGGTTAAGGCAGCTCATGACCAACTGCATGGTTCAAATCCTGGACAAAGTGACTTAAAAACATGTGGGGCATATATGTGTGCATGTTCAAAATCCTGAGAGGAAAATAAAGGAGAAGAGATTGTGGCATGGTTTTCTCCCTAAGAGTGCTTTCTCGTTCTCACCTTTATCTCTGTCTCTCTCCTGCGAGTGCATGTGCCCTATAACAGATTTTAAAATAAAGTATGAAGTTTGATGGTTTGCTAAATAAATTTGTAGAAAAGTGAGCCAGAAAAATCTTATAATCAATCAAGATATCATATTGATCAAGTATTCACACTTATTTTGTCATATAACATTGTGACTCTAAGTCAGTTTTTGTACTTTGTTAATTTATGTCATTATTTATTGTGATAGACAGAATTAATACCCTTGCCCCAAATGTCCACATCCTAATCATGAAAACCTGTATATTACCTTACCTGGTAAAAAGGACTTTATATCTGTGATTAGGGATGTTGAAATGGGGAGGTTATCCTGTACTGTCCTAGTGGTCACGGTGTAATCACAAGGGTCTTTCTTTCTTTCTTTTTTTTTTTTTCTTTTTCTTTGTTTTTCTTGAGAGGTTTTTGTTATGGGGCCTGTGTGCTTGCCAGAAAGACAGAAACAGAGAGACAGAAAGCGAGAAATCACCCCCCCGGGGAGATGGCCACGCCACAATCCCTTCTCTTCCCTACTCCTCTCGGGATCTTGGGCATGCATGCACACACACCTGGCATGAGTTTAAGCCACTGGGTCCGGGACTCGAACCATAGTTGACTACATAGGAGTCAAGCAACATAGCCATTATGTCAACTGCTAGTCCAGTAGTGAAATACTTTAAAGGGAAAAATTTTTATATCTTAGTAACTTTCATGGCACTTTTCTTCCCCCTGCTTTCTGAACGAAGACTTGCAATTTCATTTGTTACTGACTGGGCCCCACAAATTATGTGCTTAGCTCTACTTTTGGGACATTCAGGTAGTACTGTATGGTAGGAAGTGTGAAGCTTAGGGGAGTGGTTGGGGTTCAATGTAAACATTGGGAAATTGTCAACATGTAGAAGGTAATTGTACTTTGAAAACAGAGAAGACCACCAAGAAAGAATGAAGGGGCTGGCAGGTAGCGTCGTGGTTAAAGGCACTGGATTCCCACATGACTGACTGGTTTGAATCCCGGACCTGGCAGCCTGCTTTCTCTCTCTGGTCAAATAAATAATAACAATAATAATAATAATAATAATAATAACAACAACAACAAATGGAATTAAAGTAAATAAATAATTTTTTATTTTAAAAAGAGAATAAAAAGAAAGGATGAAAAGAACAGTGTGGTCCTAGACCAAAACTTTCGATCCGTGCTGTCCAATACGGTCGTCATCAGCCAGGGGTAGCTCCCGAGCACATTAAACATAGCCAGCTAAATTCTAATGCTGTAAATGCAAAACATACACCATGTTTTAGAGACTTTGTGCAGAAAAAGAATGTAAAACATCTCACTAATTAGTGTTTGTAAAAAATTGATTTCATGTTGAAGTTTTAATATTTCTGATATATTGGTTTAAGTGAAATCTTATTAAAATTAATTTTACTTTTTTTCATTTTGAATGTTGCTAATAGTAAATTAAAATTACATATGTTGTGTTCACTGTTTCTGTCAGACAGTGCTGCCCTGAAGAATACCTGTATTTAAAGTGGACAGAGAAAGAAAAGTCTATAAAAGAAACTGAGAGGAAAGCCCTGTGGCCGAGTGGTTCAGTGACCAGATACCACATGACAGATCACAGTTCAAATTTTTACCCCAGTGGCTTGAAAGATATGTTGGGTGCATGTCTGTGACTACTCCTCATTAAGAAGTGCTTTTCCCTCCTCCCTCTTTCTCTGTCTCTCTTTCTTTAGTTAACACACGTGCCCTCTGGCAAATCAAAAAAGAAAGAGAGAGAGACTGAGAAGGAAACTGACACGTTTGTTTACTCAAAAAAGCTGAAGAAATGGATGTCTTTTTTCTTTTATTTATCTTCTATGCATTCGGATATGTTCACATAAACTAATCACACAATAAATGCTATATTTTCTTGTTTTTTAAAAAGAGTTATGTATTTTAATTTTATTTGTTCATTCACCCAGTGTTATTTTTTACAGTTTGACCAGAAAGAGAGAGAGAGAGGGAAAGTGAGAAAGTGAGGACTTGAACTGTGGTTGACCATGTGGGAGTATCCAGTGCCTCTACCACCATGCCGCCTATTGGGCCCTAAATGCTGTTTCTTAATGAAATTGCTGCATTTATGTCTCTTCTCCCTGCTTCTTGTCCCCTTTTCCGATAGTCAGTTTTAATTTGATGAATAGTCTTTATTTTTCTTATGTTCATATAATCATGCATCTTCTTATACTTTCATTGCACACTACCTGGATACACAGAGTTTTCTTTTGTTCCTCTTTTGGTCATTTTTACATACACAAAATGGGATAATGTTTTACTTATATACTTCTTTTACAGCGAGATTTTTTGCTATAGGGCGTGTGCACAAGCCAGAGAGAGAGAGAGAGACAGAGAGACAGAAAGCGAGAAATCACCCCTCAGGGATGGCCACATCACAATTCCTTCTCCTGCATTCTCCTGTTGGGATTTTGGGCATGCATGCACGTGTACCCAGTGTGAGTTTTTTTAAGACCCTCGGTCCAGGACTTGAACCATAGTTAACTACATGAGAGTCCAGCGATGTAACCATTATGTCATCTGCTGGTCCCTTACTTACATACTTTAAAAAAATTTGCTAGAGGACACATATGCTTGCCAGAGAGGGAGAGGAGAGAGAGAAAGAGAGAGAGAGAGAGAGAGAGAGTGAGAAAACATACCCCATGGGATTATCACTCCACAATCCCTTCTCTTCAAATTCTCCTTTCAGGATTTTGAGTGCACATACACATGCACAAGACAGTGGGTCCAGGACTCAAACCACATAGTCAGGCACGTGGGATCCAGCTTCCTTAGCCACCATGCCACCAACTGGTCCTCTTATATACTTGTCATATATTGGTGCTTTTATTTCTGTAAGGTAAATTCCATCCCTCCTGGGGGTGATTTCTCACTTTCTTTCTGTCTCTCTGTCTTTCTGGTGAGCGCACGCGCCCTACAGCAAAAACCTCTTCAAAAAAAAAAAAAAAAAAGGAAATGTCTTGTTTACCACTGAGTATGATGAGAAAGCCAGAAACTATTACACAATATCCAGCACATAGCAGATACTCAGTAAATACATTTTAAACAAATGAACAGGAAAATATAGCAATAGATTAGAAATGAGTTTAAAATAAGAGAACAGTATGTACAAACCTATATCAACAAACCGGGATATTTAGATAAAACAAATAATTTTCTAAGAAAGTAGTTACTATGATGGAATGAAAGAAAACACGTACAATGGGGGACCAACAAGTGGCGTGGTGATTAAGGTGCTGGACAGTCCCACATGGCTAACCGCAGTTTGAGTCTCAGACCTGGTGGCTTCCTTTCTCACTTTCCCTCTCTCTCTCTGTTTTTCTCTCTCTGTATGTGTCTCTCTCATCAAATTAAAATAAGTGAATGGATAAATAAAATTGAATAAATTTTTTTTAAAAAAATAGAGAAAATGCCTACAGTGGATAAAAACTAAACATGAAATTGGTTAGGTTGTCAAACAACTATTCCTCCAGAGGGCAAGGATCCACAAGGGATGATATAAGTTTTTTATCAGTCTCTCAAAAAGCAGATATAAGGGTCTATCAGGTGGCATGGTTGTTAAGGCACTGGACACTTCCACATGGCTGACCACAGTTTGAGTCCTGGACCTTGCGTCTTGCTTTCTCACTTACCCTCTCTGTCTGTGTCTCTCTCTGGTCAAATTAAAATAAATGAATGAATAAATAAAACTAAATAATTCTTTTTTAAAAAAAGCAGATATATTCTGTATAATTTTAATGTCTTAGACATATCATATTTAATTATGTCATTTTCCATATCATGGAAATATTCCCAATTCATTTTACAAGCTTCAAATGCTTAATACCAAACTTAACAAAACAGCACACAAAAAGAAAATTGTCAGACTAAGCCTCTCTAAACATTCAAACAAAAACATTAAATAAAACATTAGCAAGTGTAATTTAACAATATATGAGTTTGTCGGGAAAGTCATGACACATTTTTGCCTAGAAAAACATAGAAAAATACACTGTGACTTTCCCGACAGCCTAATATTAAAAAATACTACACAACTAGAAGAAGAATACATTTTGAGCAGGTTGATTTCTCCCGAGGGAGAAAGATGACTCACTATTAAGAAATCTATTGACATAATTTATTACATAAACTGATTGAAGCAGAAGAATTATATGATCATCTCAGATCCCCAAATAGCACTTGATAATACAATATCCACCCTTATTTTTAAAAACTAATGAACTAGGAATAGCAGAATTCTTCTTAAA